TGTGTGTGTGTGTGTGTGTGTGTGTGTCTCTTTAAATATTCCCCTGCAACTCAACCACTTCCGGGTGTCGCGAGCTGCGCAGCTTTGACGCTCGTGAACGCGCCAGTCAGAATCGAGGACATGGGACCGTGAAAGAATGGCGGATGCCGACGAGCCGTAAGTGTCAATGGAGTAAAACTCCTCATTCCCCCTGAGTCTGACCGTCACGCTTCACCGTCCACACACGTGTTGTCCTCTGTTCCTGCAGGGAGAAGAAAAGAAGGCGAATAGAGGACCTGACTGAGAAGTTAGTGACGAATGCGAAATGAAGGTCCGGGCAGCAGAGAGCAGCTACTGCTGGGCCAGGAGACACCGACACAACCAGCCATTAACCGCTTTAATGAACCACTTAGACGTTTGTGCTGATGTTTAATTGACACTGTGAAGCCGATAACACAACACTGTGAGCCCGCACTGCTCCCAATACTGCAAGAGCCTGCACACTGTAGCTCTGCACTAATGCTACACACCACACACCAGTCCACTGCAGGGGCTGAGTTATTGTTTTCAATTGAATATCCCACAATGCAATGCACAAAGAAAATTAATAATAATACTCTTTATTCAAGATAAGGTAAAACTTTATTCATCCACACACCAGGTGAATTCAGAGTATGTACATAATATACATCTTTAACTTAAATAGTTTGAGTGGAAATGTTCTGCAGTACAGTGGCACATCAAGACATATTGTGATGTGCTGATGAAACAAATGTGCAAAAAGTTATTCTCCTTTAGAGAAATAGTGCAAATAGTATGTGACATGAGAGAAACACCAGTGCAGTATTTTATTCTTCATTTGTGAGGGTTTAGAGTCTGACGGCTGTGTGATGAAGGACTTATTCAAAACATGGTTTAAAAGTATTTCATAGGAGAAGTTGTTGGTGCTCGATGATGTTCGCTGTCCAGAGACAAATGCATATACCCCATAGACGGCTAATTAAAGACCCCACACGTGATTGTGACCAAGTTACAGTTCTGCAGACTGCTGGGTTATCATGAATTATAGAAACATTTTAAAGTTTAACTGGTCAGTGGCTTGTTTTCTCTCATTCACAAAATTTTATACCTTGGAAAATTAGAAAATAAACAGTGATTACTTGGGAGAAATGCACTCGTATAAGTTATAGTACAAGTTGAGTGTGTCTTGGTGTGTTGTGTGTGCAGAATGGCTGTAGATGGTGGACACAGGGACAGTGGTTGTGACTGGGATGGCCGGTGGAATCATGTGAGGAAGTTTTTGGAGCGGCCCGGCCCGTTCACTCATCCCGACTTTGAGCCGAGCACTGAGGTGACACAGAAACACCTTCATGAAACAGAATGCATGCAGTTCATATCTCAGACTGAATCTGTGCGTAGTGATAAATAGTTCACACTGTTAATTTATGGTGATGTTTGTTTGAATGCAGTGTTCTAAACATGTCGATACTTCTTTTTGCAAGTCTCTGCAGTTCTTGTTGGAGACCTGTAAGATTCTGGTCATCGGTGCGGGAGGACTCGGATGTGAACTTCTCAAAAATCTGGTAGGAAGTAACTTTGATCTACTTCACGCTCACTTGACTGTAATCTGAGAAATATATTGTTGTAGTTCTCACATTGTCTTGTTGTGTTTTCAAGGCTCTGTCTGGGTTTCGCCTTATCCACGTGGTTGACATGGATACTATTGATGTGTCCAACCTCAACAGGCAGTTTCTTTTCAGGTAGGTCCCCCCTCGGTTTTTACTTTTCCTTAAATCCTTTGTTAAATAGTCATTAATATCTTAAATATTATATTAAAGCCCTATAGCCCTCAGTAACCAGGTCTTTTAATCTTTGACATTAATTCAACGATGATGGACGTATTCAGTCCCAATAAACAAAAGCAGCAAGATAACAATGTATTTGCCTCTGAATTGTTGTGGTAATAAAAATCATGAAATTGTTATTCTTACATGTCTTAAGTGCCTAAATTTACATGTACTTTATTTGCCTCTTGATGAATGAGGCACTTGATTGATCCTGTGTGATAAAATCAAAATACATTCCTCGTCTGCTCTGTTATCACCTCCTATATCTTATGATTTAGGCCCAAAGATGTTGGGCGACCAAAGGCAGATGTGGCTGCTGACTTCATCAACAGTCGTGTCCCTGGATGTAAAGTTATCCCGTATCCTTTTCAACAACAGTTGTTTTCACAGACGTAGTTAACAATGTAAAAAAAAGGATCTTGATCATGATTTTCATTCCTTATTAACAACACATAGTCACTTTAAAAAGATTCAAGACTTTGATGAGTCTTTCTACAGGGGTAAGTGTGTTTCTCTTACATGCATGAGAAGAGTTCACCAAATAAACACTTCAAACGTTTTTTAAAAAACTGCTCTTGACTTTGCAGAGTTCCACATCATCGTCTGTGGACTGGACTCCATCATCGCCAGACGCTGGATGAACGGGATGCTGGTAGGAAAAATACATGTTGTTTTACTGTTTGTCTTTACTTGATTAACTTTTGTATATCAGAAGCTGTGTTATTATTTTATTCTGCCTTTATTAGATCTCCCTCCTGAGTTATGAAGACGGGGTCCTGGATCCCAGCTCCATCATTCCGCTAATAGATGGAGGAACAGAGGGCTTTAAAGGAAACGCCCGTGTCATCCTGCCCGGCATGACTGCCTGCATCGACTGCACGCTGGAGCTGTACCCACCACAGGTCACTTCTCAGCAGCTTTCGGAGCTCATATTGTCACTGTTGAGAGTCATTTCATAACAACAAAGGGATGAATCATAATTAATCAACCTTACAAAAGCATTTGCAGCTCAGCTCAGTGTTTTGGGTGAGACAAAGAATTGGTGGTGCAGAGGAGGTTATGTTTTACATTTTCACCTGCAGCAACAGCAGATTCTGTTGGGGGGGGGGGGAAATAAATGACTTGAGGCATAATGCAAAAATAGCTACCAGAATAACAAGGCACAGAAAAGAACACCATCTACAGAAACTACAGAAAATAAGAGAGAAAAAAATAGCTGGAAGATGCAGCACCAGTATAGCAGAGACTGTTTGGCACCAAACAACAAGAAAAAATAGATGTGAAATCAAGTGCAATGTCAGATGCTTTTCTGTTTGCCCTTAATTCATACTTTACAATCCACAGATTAATTTCCCCATGTGCACCATTGCGTCAATGCCGAGGCTTCCAGAACACTGCATCGAATACGCCAGAATCTTACAGTGGCCAAAAGAAGATCCGTTTGGAGGTGAGCTCTCTTTTTTTTCCTCTTATTTTTTTTGGCCTGCTGTACAACACAGTCTAACAAGCCAGGTCCTCTCCTTCTTTAGATACCAGCTTAGATGGAGACAATCCAGAACACATCCAGTGGGTGTTTGAAAGATCCCAAGAAAGAGCTGCAGAGTTCAACATCACAGGAGTGACATACAGACTCACTCAAGGTGAACACAGTGATGAAACTGAAATACGGTGATTTCATCCAAAGCAAATGTGCCACATCAGTCTTATTTAAGTGGAACAGATGCATTTCTCACCAGCTCTGCTTCTCAAGTAGTTATAATGATTGATGGTATCTAATCTAGTTTCTTCTGTCACAGGAGTTGTGAAAAGGATCATTCCTGCTGTGGCATCAACCAACGCTGTTATTGCTGGTATGAAACTTAAACATTTGGCAGTAGCTGTTGCTATAAAGAGACGCGACATTATATTGAGTAGCTATGTATTACATATATTTAACATTCCTTTGGTTATATGATGTTGTTTAAGTAATAAGGTTATTATTACCTCTAACTGACTAAATATATAAGTAACTGACTCACTAACAGCTTTTATTAGCTTGTCAGGGAATTTGTGACTCACACATTATTTTAACACCTTTAATATTGTGTATGATATACAGTATATTATGCTTGATCAAAACAGTGTCTCACAGATGGTTGACCTGAGAGGTCAAATTCCCTGACACAGCTAATGAAGTACAACATGTCTTATACAAAGATACTGGTCTATATATAAATATATAGAAGAAGAAAACTGACTGGAAGTCATTTTGCTTCTGTTCTCCACAGCTTCCTGCGCCACTGAGGTTTTTAAAATTGCTACAAGGTTGG